GGTCAATAGTTGGTAGTTTCTGAAATACAAAGTAAATCAGAAATCCCTGAGGAAAAAAGAAAAGAAAAATGTGTTGGGCACTTTGAAAATGCTTAAGGGAGAACTACCTGGAGATCTACTTTTGTTCTGAATTCCTAATTCTGAATTTTAAAAATACCTTGGATTCCAAAACAAAAATTATTCAGAATGTGCTTTTCAATGACAGTAAACTAAATAAGCTCAGTATTACAGGTTTTCATTTCTTTTAGGCATTAACTATGTAATCTGAAAATGTAATCTCAAATTTCTCCCTTCATTTAGCAAAGTGAAGACCAAGGAAATTCTGCTAAAGATATCCTAATGAGGTCCAGCAAGTAGTATGGCAGTTAAGGTGCTGGATTCTCACATAACTGACTGGAGTTTGAGTCCCTGACAGGGCAGATTGAAAATCATGCTGGGCACGCGTGTATGCCCAAAATCCATGTGGCATGGCCATCCCCCATAGAGGGTATTTTTTCCTCTCTCACTGTTTCTGTCTCTCTCAGATGAGCACGCACACTTTATGGCAAAAAAAAAAAAAGTCCTAATGAAACATTGAGAAACTACTCTCCAATGTCTAATAAAATCAGTCCTGTTGGAATCTGCGGATGGCATAATGGTTACTTCACTGGATTCCCATGTGGTTGACATGGCTTGAGTCCCGGACCCAGTGGCTTAAAACTCATGTCATGCACATTTGTGTGCTTGCCCAAAAATTTCAAGAGGAGAATAGAGGAGAAAGGATTGCAGCATGGCCAGCATGACCATCCTCTTTTGAGGGCGATGTCTAGCTTTGTGTCTCTCTCCATCTCTCGGGTGAGTGCATGTGTCCTATAGAAAAAAATCTCTCAAAAAAAAAAAAATCAGACCTGTTACATAATCATTGCCACTCCTATATATAAACATCTATTCCTAACTCTCTTACACTATGTGGTTGTGTTTATGTGTATGTAGTGTTACCTATTCCAATGGAATTTAGAGCTAAAACAGTCCTTGTCTCTTTATAGTACTAGGCTAGTTGACCATCTGTTTTGTCCTATAGAGATTTTCTCCCCAAAAATAATTCAGACTCAAAATGTATATTGGTAACTATATTTTAAACCAAAAATTCCTCACATAATAAATACATTTTATGCACATTAACTTCGAATTTACTTCAGAAAGCTATTTACAATATAAATAATTATAAATGGGAACACTTTGCAAGATATCATTGACATAGCTAATATTTTCTACTTTACATTCCAAAGTAAAAGTTCAAATTACAGCTTTATACTACAATGTCACTAAAAACTATACATCGCAAGATGCTATTTGAAATATTGGCAATCAGTATCTTTCACAAATATAGTCCTTTGATAGCACATTAGTCTGAAAATGAACATAAAATATTTTTGAAGTGCCCACTCATGTTTTATTTTTTGAAATACTTCTCGTTGAAAAAAAAAATGGAAAAAAGTTACAGTACTTCTAAAATTTTCTCCATGCCAATTTCATTTCTTTTTAAATGTAAACACACCAGGGTTGTTGGGTATAAATTCATTAGGATTAAATGTATCCCAGATCAGCAAATTAGGACAAATTTCTCCCATAAAAGTTTATGAAAGCAAAGTCCCATGCAGCAAAATTGCAATAAGTAAAACTACAAATACTTGGTTTAAAATTATTAATTAGGATTTCTTGCATGAACCATAATTTTAATATATATATATATAATATTTAATTTATATATATATCACTGGATATGGCACATTTTTATGAGTCCCCAAAATGATATTAAAATCACCTTCTTTCTGTGTGCCGTGTGTGTGTGTGTGTGTGTGTGTGTGTGTGTGTGTGTCTGTGTCCTTTCTGCATACCATCCGAGAGAAGGAGCTTGGAGCCAGCCCCTTTTTGGAAATGAGTACAATCTCACCTTTTGAATTAAGTAGTACCCGTAAAACCCTTGTGCACAAGAGAAATGAGCACCACATGGAATCTCCCCGCAAGAACAATTTTTACGTACCATGCCTTTTGCACGTGTCAATAGCTATTCTGTCACTTGTTTAAATTTTAGAATGATAACGAATATTTTTATCCACAACACATTTCACAGTAAGAATTAGCCAATAGATTCTCCTGTCATAGACGTAAATCCCTATTCACAAAAACTTGACATTTCCATCAAAATTGAGTCACTTATTTGGAGGACTGCAAGATTTACATTCTTTATTAAGTCATTCAGGAAATAGGATGTATATCTAATACAGCAAGACTGTATTAAAGTGTAAGCTATTCTACCAGGCAAGGTAAGTGACCTACAAATGGCTGAAATACTCTTCTTCCAAATCATCAGCATTCACTCAGACACTCCCAAATACTGCTAATACTAATAGGATTGCACTGAATATCTTAAGCATCCTGCTTTTGAAAGAGAGAGAGCTATAAAATATCAAATCTGTATTCAAACTGTCTCTTTAGCTGTACCGTCTTGTATCAAATTTATTTGGTCTAGATCTTAGAGAGAGGAGTCTCATATTTTATTTTAAAATACCTGTATATACTTGTAAATTATCTTGTATTAGAATTGATCCTCATCCCCCATAACAAAGAACAACAAAACATATTCCATTTTAGAAATCCCATTAAAGTGGATTTTAAGTGGGATTCTCTGCCCAGAGCATCCCTCTGAATGTGGCCAACAGCAGGGCATACAGAAAAATTAATATTAGTCCCTAATGGAAATATTCAAGTCATACAGTGGATAACTAAGGAAGAATAGGTGGTTATTCTGTATAAACACTGAAGGCAAATCGTTTATTGTATCCTGTCTTATTTTAAATGTCACATCAGAGCAATGTCACATTTCCTATTAAAATCAGACAATTAATTAGTTTGAAAAGCTTGCACATTGTATTCAACCAGGCCAAGAGTAATTGTGATGTTAATATTATGCATCCCAAAATAACACATCAAATCTGTATATTCTTAATAATAATTTTAACAGAATTTTCCCAAGGAAGATTAGAGAAATAGTCATGTATTCTTTGGTCATCCAAATTTTTAAACTAGGTAGGACAGGTAAAATGGGCAATATGAATATTACTGTTACTAGAAAGCATGAACTTTGTATCATCTAATAAATTTATTAATATTATGCTAGTAATTAGATATGGTACATTTTTATTAATCCCTAAGGTGATATAAAAAAATCATACTTCTCTATTTCAATTAAGTTTCATGGTTCTCAGCATTTTAGCAAAATGATGGAAATCAAGGATCAAAACTAAAGTCAATTTAGGTTTAACTTAAAATCATTTTGTTAATGGGAACATATTTGTTATACATCCCATTTTTTTCCAAAGACACAGATGACAGCTTCATTATGAGGAAATATGTTTGTGCACAGAACATAATATAGACTGTAGATACATTATGACACATCTAGGTGTATATTAAGGTACCGTGTCATAAAGTGTCTTACCTATTTTGGATCATTTTGTAATAATCATGCCATATTGCAAAAAAAAAAAAAATGCAAGTGGGCATATACGGCATTATTGCAGTGTAACGAAGCTGCTTCTATGAAAGTATTGGCATTCAGTAAATCAAACACATGGTTGTGTATCTAAAACTGGGTTGATCTACTAACAATTTTGAATCATGATATGATTTAATTTTGTCTCCCCTTAAAAATGTTGATCATACCTTTTTATTATCTGATTATCCCAAACTGTGTTCATAATTTACCTTCCACCAATTAACAATCTCCCATATAAAAATTCCACTGAAATTCCTTACTGACAGTCTTTTCTTCAGTATCAGCTCATTTTCCTTGGTTTTTAAGTTTCCATTTCTCATTTAGCATCTGTCTCTGACACATTTGGTAGACTATTATCCATCAGTAAATTCCATATGTATATTCCTTTCCAAAATATACTGGATTCATCAGCTATTTGTGTTTGAAACATGTTTCCATTTACAGAACTCTGCAAAATTTTTAGCATTTCTAAAACCTTACTTCATGTTGCAAATCAATCAAAAATCCATTTCAATTATTCTCAGAAATAATTTTCTCAAAATTACTGAGTACTTTTGTTTGTATAAAAACTTAGCTTTTATAAGACTCTGAACTTTTTTTTTGAAAGTATATATAATAACCACTAACTTTCTCACTTACTTGCACTTTTTTGTGTTTATAGCACAAATGTTGCTCTGTCACACACAAGACACAGTTATTTAATATTATATAGCCTCTTCCCTCACGTACAAACAAAGCCAGTATTCTCTCATATTATCATCATTCAGATTGTCACTTACCTATGGACTGCCAAATAACCATTAAATGATGAAAATATAGTACTAATCCCTGAGTGTTTAATGTCATGTTATTTTAAAAATTAAAGATCAAATTTTTCTCTCCTTGCATATGGCAAGACTTTTAGGCATGGGGCGCCTAGGAAATATTATCTGTGAAACGTCTCTAATCACTGATGTCATTTTGTATGAATACTAGATCATAGTGCATTAAATAAACCCTACTATGTTTCTTCCTCATTTGGTTGGTACTACCTACATTTTGGTGGAATCTAGAAAGTTGACAGTCAGTATTTACGCCTACAAGGGCCCACACACCTGCCGAAGTTGCAGATATCTAGTCCTCTATATGTGGGCAGAAAAGGGATGATCAGGCTTATCAGCACATCGCGCAGAGTTAACTAGTTAGCAGGTTCAGTTCTGCCGTACCAGTGTACCACAGGACCGGGGAACGTTGGAGCTGCCTTACAGACTGGAAAACTGGAGCCCAGGCACGGCGACTGGCTTATATAAGGTCACACAAATTTAGGTTATGGGCAGAGTCAGTATCAAAACTCAGAGATCATAGTATTTGTCAGTGGCTCCTTGGACTATACCACACAGATTTAAGACCAAGTTTGTTCTTTTTGTTGTTTACAAACAAAAAGGAAAATAAACATTTTTTGACTGTTCAGCCAAAGTTGCCACCATTTATCTGTCACTTAGCTTTTATCTTAGACTTTCTCCTGAGGTTTTTTTCCACATGTTGTCACATGAGCCCATCTGGGCTTTGAACTATTTTCAAACACATACACTGCTGTCACGTAGCACTTCACTGGTTTTCCTTAGTCGATTTTGCATTTACCAGTCTTTTGTCTTGATGATCTGGTTTGAATTTTTTATCTGGATGGCTTTATAAGCCGACCCCAAGTATATTGTTTATATATTCTGAGCTTTAAATTGTTTTGAGTTATCAATTCATTTCCCTCTGCCTACTTCCAATTGCACACACCAGGTTTTTGATGTGTGTCCCAAAATCGCAGTGCTTTTACTTAGAAAGACTCTTACTGCTATGTCAGTGCGATCCTGGTCCTCGTCTAGCTCAAAAGTAAGGTGAAAAATCACCACTTCCTGATTGCTTATAATGGATACCAGGTGAAAACTCATTCTTGCACCATATCCTGTATGATTTGTTTAATTTATGCCTGAACCAAATGAACTGGCTGATTTGAAACCACAAGGAAGAAATCAGTTTATAAGATGTATAAGATGTATCTCACTCTTAGTCATTTTGGAATAGGAATTTCTTTAGGAAACTTGTGCTAGAATTAAGGAAAGTAGCAATTTGGGGTGTATCAAAGTCTCTATTCCATATTTCTGCCTGTAAAGTGTACACGGCAGTCTGTGAATGGTGGTCTATGTGCGTGACGACCACCAGATCATCACAAATTCCTGTGGTGAATATGCTTACTTGATCTCCATGATTATTTTTCAATTGCAAATGTAAATATTCTGGTTCCCATATAATTGGAGGGGCAAGCTGTGTATGTAGCTCCATTATCTGTGTGTAACCCTGAATGCTAGTGCTGTTTTCTTTGATTTCGTAAGAACATATGGCAAATACCCAGTAACTTAAATTATTCTCTCTAACAATCTGTGGCATAGTAAAGGCTGGTAATGGGGCATCAAGCTATAAATATGTTTCAGAGATCCTTAAAGAACAAAATATTTTAGAAAAACATCAGCTTCCATTGGTTATTATAACGGATGTTCCCTTGTGTCCTTGAGCTGGGTCTGGCTGCATCCTTAGATGGGAAGTTACATCAAAGTGTGAGCCGTTACAGCCCAAGGAATAGTTTCTAATGGTTTCGCTGTCATATAAGTGCTCCAGGGCGTATCCAGTTAATGTGTAAGCATGCTTATCAAAATACTGCCGGTGAGAGCCAAAGCAGTTTGGAGAGACGGCAGGATGGTCTCCCGCTGTCTGATGAGGAGACATATCCGAATGTAGATAGTCTTTAGCTAGGATCAAACTGGATTTTGAAATGCGATCTGAATTGGGACTACTTATCCGAGACAGTGCTGTGGGGCTGTTGTCATAGTCATTGTCATGGGGGCTCAGCATCTTTCCCTCTCTCTGCTGGATGTGGTCACATGGTGAAGTGTTGGCAAGAGCAGAGCCGTGGCAGACTTCGCCTGTCGGTGGGGGCTGCTGGTAGTTTGCAAAACAGAGGGAGTGTTTTTTCCCAGCTCCATTAATGGAAGCCAGTTGGTCTGCGGGTGCTTTCCTTAACTGCAATCTGTTCTCTTCTTCTTTAATCATCTGCTGGGTGGCTCTTATCAGAGTTTCAATTTTGCTAGGTTCATGTGGACTACTTTGATACTGCTCAGGGCGGTATCGGTCACCTGACTCGCTGGCCGACCCAGGGTCTGGAGAACTGACCACGCTATCTTCATCCCAATGACCTCGCCCTAAAAATTAGAAAAAGAAAAGAGTAAGTGGTCCTGAAATTTTCCCCCAAATAATGTGTACTTTTTTTTATTAAAAGAAACTGTGTCTTTTTCAATTTTAATGTATGCATCAATACAGGCTCTCATGACAGTGTCAGCTTATTGTACTGGAATTCACATTTGTACTGGATTCAATAAAATCAATGTATTTTAAGTGCAGATGAAGTTTATCACAAGTTCTTAGAAGAAAAACCTTGTTCGCTTGTTCATGGGTTGTAAATACCCAGGAGCAGAATTGTATTTTTTGTATTTACAAAAGGAGTGTCTATACTTCTCCATGTATGCACACTATTGGACCTATCTGACTGCAAATAACATAAGGAGGACACACAGGACTTTGTTTATAACATTTTTAGAGCAGTGTCATGTTAAATTGATGCCAGGAAAATACTTCCGATTGGGTTTAAGGAAAGCAATATAACCTGAACTATTCTCCCAATTCCAAATAAATTACCCAAAACGTTAATGTTGCTAATTGTATCTTAAGTAGAATTACAGTAAGGTGCTACTCTTTGTTTTTAGGGTAATTGAGGCTAAAAGCATATCTATATATTTATATATGTATGTGTATATACATATATATGTATATAAGGATGGAAACAGATAGGGATAGATAACACATACATATGGATACATCTTGTCCTAATAAAAAGAATAAATATTATCTTATCAAATCTAGGAGTAAACATCCCAGCTGCACAGGTAATTAGATGGTAATTTGGCTATTTTAGATTGTCTCTGAAATAAGCTAAAAAATTAACAAATGCTTACAATTTTAAGAACAACCTGTTCTGAACCAAGGAGACAGGTTTAATATGGAGGAATAGTAAGTCCAACATATATTCCATAAACTAAATTATTCTCAAAACAGTATGAAGTCAATATAAAAAGAGAAAAGAAAAGCAGGTAGGGACATATAAAAGCTATAAATTGCTGTATGCAGCAGAGAAGCCCTGGATCACACTATTCATTGCTTTCCATTTCTTTTCTTCTTATTTTATTTCTAATATTTTCTTCCAGACCATGTAGGTTAAGCCAGGATTTTCACTTCACTCCATTCTTTGGCAAGCAATTGCCCTTTGCCCTGGGTTTCCATTACCAGTCTCCTGAACTGTTCCTTGGTTCAGAACAGATTGTGTACTCAAAGTAAAAGCAGAAAAATAAAAAGGAAAAATAGAAACAAATGAAAATTACTTGGAGAAGGCAATCAGTGCCTGGGTGGTATCTGACAGGAGACTTTATGGGGACATTGTCTAATTACATTTCTTATCCTAAAGACAAGAAGAGTGACTTTTCATGAAATAGGACGATATTCAAATACCTGAACTTGGAATGGACAGAGGTGCTCTCCTTAATCCATTTACTTTGAAATGAACAAAGAAAAGAATGACCAATAACCAGTGTCCATTTCCATGTATCTGTAAAGCCATATAACAATCCCAAAGTGAAAATCTCAGTGGATTTGACATATCACTCCATCCTTACTCACGGGGGGCATTGTGGGTTGTCATAATGATGAAGGAAATGGAGTCATTTAAACTTTTTGATGCTCAAGATGGCAATTACTGTTACTTGCTGTCAAACCTAAATGTATTGAGGCCGGCAGGTGGCATGGTGGTTAAAGCCCTGGACTCGTACATGGCCAGTTACAGTTTAAGTCCCAGACCCAGTGGCTTGAAAATCACACAAAGTGCGTGTGCCTATCTGCCCAAGATCCTGAGAGTAGAATGGAGGAAAAGGGACTGGTGAAGCCATCCCCTCTGAGGAGCAATTTCTCACTTTTCCTCTCTGTCTCTCTTTGCCCTGTAGCAACAAAACCTAAAGTGAAATAAAATAAATGTATTTGGCAAACATTAGCAGCAGTATTACACTAAGAGTGGCCTGGTTTTCCGAAAGTCCATTGGTATGAGTTTCTGAGCAAAAAGCATCTAGGCCAGTCGCTGCAATGTCTGTCACACCTAGAACCTTGCACACCTGCCCAACGAACACCTGCGAGCAAGCTGGGAGTCCTTTCTACTACTCTTACCGTGGATCCTGTGCACTGAGGCGATGTGAGGCATGCTGTTCTCGTAGGCTTCTCTGCTCTCCGGAGAAGCCTTGGTCAGGGGCAAGGCTGCTCGAGAGCCCCACCAGGGCTCCCTTCCTGTCTGAGGCGTTCCCAGGAAGTACCTGCCTGCCTCACAGCGGCCTCCCTCACAGGCCTGGGTGTGGAAATGCCTCTCCTCCACCAGCCTGGAATGGTCGAGCGCAAAGCCGTAGCAGAGAGAGCTGCGGTCCGAGAACTGCCTGTAGGCACACGATACGTCATGCTGAGAGCCCGGCCTGTCGGCAGGGTCCAGGAGCTGCGGAGAGGCTGTGTCGGTCAGGGGACTTCCACCCCACTGACTGTCATGATCCGATTCCGACCGTTCCGTGTGAAATCCTGAATACTGAAACCGAAAGGAGAAAAGTCCATTTCAAAAATAAATAACTGTTTTTCCTCTGCAAGCATTCCTAAAATTATAATAGCCAGAGGGAGGCCAAAATAAGACTGCTGGGCGCCTTATCTTGGAATCTCTTAATTAGTCAAAGGCTTCCAAAGAAAATCTTTTTGGCTTCTGAAGGAGGAGATAAAAATAACAACAAACATCACTGAAGTATTGGATACTGAATGAAGTGCTTTATGTGAATTAAATAGTTAATAGTTAGTAGTTAAAGAATTAATAGTTCTTATAGCAACCCTGTAATGACTGTTATTATCCCTAACATAAGAATCAAGCTAATGCACTACTAGGAAGGAATGTGATTTACCCAAGGTCACACAGCAGGTGAGTGAACCAAGATTCAAACCTCAATTCTTCACCACTACCCAAATGATATTCACCAATAGAGAACCCAAGAAAATTGTGTTTTATTTCTATTTGCTTTCTGCATTTATTCTTGATCAGAAATAGAAAACAAAAACTAAGATTTGAGGCACCATCATACTAGGCTGTTAACTCTTAAAGGCCATACTGGATACAAGGCAGAATGACTAATATAGACTGGCCCAATTCGATTGCCAGATAACTTTTAAGAAGTCTTGCCTAGAGACCAGCAGATAGTGTAATGGTTACGCCACTAGACTCCCACGTAGTCAACCATGGTTTGAGTCCTGGACTCAGTGGCTTAAAACTCATGCTGGGCATGTGTGCATGCATGCACAAAATCCCAAGAGGTGACTAGAAGAGAGGCAGGACCACCCCCCCTGGGGGGGAGGGACTCCTTGCTTTCAAACTATTTGGTCAGGTATAAAAAGGAAACGTGAAATGTTCAGCAGACCTTCCTGGAGAGGTGTGCTCAGTTTGAATGTTCTCGAGAGCCACTAAAATATTTCTACAAGTTTTTGGTTGCCTAACATCAAACACAATTCTAGATTTCCTGCCATGGTAGCAAGAGATAACATTTATTGATAACTTACCATGTGCTTGGCGATATATTTATTCTATATTCTATATCATTTAATTCTTATAACCACCTAGACAATGATGTATCTCCATTTTATACATGAGGAAATTACATCACTCAGAGTTTTAATAGGATACCATAGCTACCTCTCTGTCTGGTCTCAAATCCTGCACTCCAAGATACTCTTACACTTGAGAAAAGAACAATGTTAAGAAACTGAGGAGAAAAACAAGGATTCGATATCAGAGAGTTTCAGAGAAGGAACAGAAACTGTTTTACAGTCCCAGGAATCAAAATATAAGTTTAGTCTACATTTTCTTTCTTGCTCCAGAAGAAAGAAAGGTATGTTATATAGTGCTGTGGAAGAGTTGGGGGAAATCTGTCTTGTACTGTTCTTCCCCGTTACATGCCAGATAAGCAAGTTTCATCCGTGATGAGACATGACATCCAGTGACATTCACAAGTCATGGCAAACTCCCTTTCCCACTAGGTCCACCATGAGCAGAAGGACTTCTGACTGACTCCTCCCACCTCAGTGCAAATAAGCAACTCAGCCTCGGGATCCTAGGGAAAGGGAGATGATGCACAGCTAATAAACACAGCTTCAGAGAGAATTCTATGCAAATTCCAGGCTCAAGATTTTTTTCGTTACCATCTCTATTACTTTAATTATTTTCTAAATGTACACCTGGACTCTCAGCATATTCCATCAAAAGGAATAAAAAAAAAAAATCCAACTTTCCTCCCTGCAAGACTATAGAATGGAAGACATCAAGGCTTCCCGAGTACCATTTCTTCATGTCTCACTTTCCACATGCTATCAGCCTTTTGTGTCAGTGAACATCAGTCTTTTTCACAAGACACCAACTTCATATTCAAGAGCTGACACCCCCTCATCTCACTGAGTGTGGTCTGAATGCAGTACGCACGCCCTTTGGAAGCACCATCCATGTGCTTGCTCAGAGAAACTCGGAACATTAGTGCTATTCCAAGCTAGGAGTTTCCCAGACTGCTTGTTTTTATAAAAGTATAAACCAGGCCTATTTCTGAAGTGCTCCAGTCAAGACTTTTGAGCACTGTCGAGAGGGGAAAAAAGCTTTCTATGAGTGTGTATGGGAACGTGCTATTGGTGCAGTAGAGAATATTCCGTCCTTCACTCACAAAGAAAATTCAACAAAAGACAACCCCAGCATACAGGAAGCACACATTTCAAGAGCACCCAAACAAAAATGTGAAAGAGAAGCTTCTTGTCAGTAACCAGGAGACTGCAGCAGTAAGTACAGTGCCCTGAGATACTCATGTAGGCAGAACTTGGGTGGTTCAGTTACACCAAAACCTCACACTACTTCACAGGTTCAGAGGAACCCACTGCTGCAGGTGTACCAGGATCTCACTTTCCTTCTCACTGTCTCTGTCTCTCTCTCTGGTGAGTATACACACCCTAAGGCAAAAGCCTCTTAGAAAAAAAAATAGATTATGTTAGATATAAACTCTGACACTACAACCCCATTACTGAATCTAAAATCTTTCAGGTATTTGTTAAACATTTAAGAACAAAGAAAGGGCAGAAAGAGAGGAAGGCGGGCAGCCAATGCATGCAGTGTGTGCAGGGTAACACATGAATTCTGCATAAGAAGGCTCCTGGTCTTTCTCACACTTACTTTCCCTGCATATTACATGCGAGATCTTGGGCAAGTGATGTAATTTACATCTCAAAAGGAAAAAGGTTACGATGATATTCATCTGTGAAAGGCTGAACTAGAGTTGGGGTCATTTAATGGGACAGGTAATAGGGACAGTAGGCCAGGAGAACATCTTTCCAGATCCATTCCTAATAGCAGCAAATCTCAGGGTAAAAATTACTTCATCTTTCTTAGCCCTCATCTGCCGAAATATATGTCAACTAGACTTTCTCCAACTTTTGTTTCAGCTCTAATCGTCAATACAATGAAATCATTATCTGGTATTCTTTTTGTGTTAAAACACATGATTCCTATATCTGTCCCTGTATTTCATTCATTTTAAGAAAATAATTATTGAGAACTATATCCTGTATCCAATCATTTTTATTGTCATGGTTAAAATAGGAAAGTAAACATGTAAGTTAATAGTTCTACTATAGCAAGATTTCCCCCAAGTATCCTAGTGACACAAGTTTATTAGGAATTACATGATGATTTTTGGTTAGGAAATTATGACATCCTAAAAACTTCTCAATATGAAGGATAGATAACAGGAGCCATTTGAATCTGAATCTCTCCACACATTCTTCCCCCAAAACCTATCTGGCCATCAGGAAGCACAAAATAAATTACACATAAACTACACTATAGGCACCATTGGAGGCAGAAAATAGGACTCATACTGAGAAAAAAAGAATAACATTAAGTGCCAAAATATGAACACGAGTCAGTATTTGGTGTTTCATAGCACTGGTCACAAGGAAAGGACTCAAAAACAAGAAAAATTCAGCTTTAGAAATGTGTCATTTCCATAAGGAAAAAGTGAACATTGAGAATGGATGTGTTCCTCAAAGACATAGTGGTGAAAAAAAAGAAGAAGAAGAAAAGAAAGGAGCAGTAGAAATTACTTTGGTATGTTATTGTGGGTTCTATTTGCATTTCTCTAATGGTTAATGATGTTTAGCATTGTTCTAGGTGCTTATTAGCCATTTGTACATCTTCTTCAGAGAAATGTCTATTCAAATCCCTCACCATTTTGCATCAAGTTGTTTGTTTTGTTGTTCTTATTGATTTGTAGTAGTAACTTTATTTTTAATAACCAAAAACTTGAAATAACACAGATGTCCTTCACAAGGGAACAGTTAAGCAAAATGTGGCATAACCATACTATGTAATATTACTCAGCAATAAAATTAATAAATAATCAAAATAAAAACTATTGATATATTCAACAGCTTGAATAATCTATAGAAAATTGTGCTGAGTAAAAACAAAATCCAATCTTGGGACCGGCAAGTGGCATGGTGGTGAAGGCTTGGACTCCCACATCAGCAATCATGGTTTGAGTCCCAGACTTGGTGTCTTGCTTTCTCACTTTCCTTCTCTCTCTCTCTCTCTCTCTCTCATCAAAATAATAAAGAAAAAGAAAGAAAGGAAAGAAAGAGGAAGGAAGGAAGGAAGGAAGGAAGGAAGGAAGGAAGGAAGGAAGGAAGGAAGGAGAAGAAAGAAAGAGAAAGAAAGAAAGAAAGAAAGAAAGAAAGAAAGAAAGAAAGAAAGAAAGAAAGAAAGAAAGAAGGAAAGAAAGAAGGAAAGAAAGAAAAAGAAAGGGAAAGAAAGAGAGAGAGAGAGAAAAGAAACAAAACAAAACCATTCTTAAAAAAAAAATCCAATCCCTTCATCAAGTTTGAAAGCTTATGCACAGCAAAGGAAACAATAATTAGAGTGAAGACACAACCCTCAGGCTGGGAGAAAATATTTGCAAGCTGTGCTTCAGATAAGGGATTGATAACCAGAATGTAGAGGAAACACAAGCAGCTCATCCACAAAAACAGTGAATAGTCCAATTACAAAATGGGCCAATGAGGGGCCAACAGGTGGTGCAGTGGTTAAAATGCTGGATTCTCACATAAGTGACCACAGTTCAAGTCTGGACCCAGCAGCTTAAAAATCACACTAGGCATATGTGCATGCATGCCCACAATCTCAAGAAGAGAATGGAGAAGAGACTATGGTATGGCCATCTCCCCTAGTTTCTCACTTTCCTTCTCTCTGTCTCTGTCTCTCTCCAGCAAGCACATGTGCTCTATGTCAAAAACCTAAAAAAATAAAAATAAAAATAGTCAAATGGGTTGAACAGACAGCTCTCTAAGGAAGACATACAAGTAGATAAAATACATATTTAAAAAGCCCAACATCTTTTATCATAAGGGAAATTCAAATCAAATCCACAATGAGATACCACTTAACCCTAGTAAAAATAAGTTCGATCAAGAAAATAAAATGCAAAAAGTCCTGACAAGGCTGCAGTGAAAAGAAAATCC